GAAAGAATAAACTAGTTTTATTTAAGAAAGGACTTGTGTCGCTAAAGTTTAGTCAGAAAGAATTTAAGGAAAATTAACTAACAACTGGAGGCGTAACAGCACCATTTGTGTTGAAGAGTTAAGACAATGGATTAAAGGATAGAAAAAGTCCTTACCTTTTCGAATTCCAATTGTCTGGAGTGAGCCTAGAAACCACAAAGATGACTGCTATTTTTGCTCATGTAATGTGCAAGGCTACAAACTCAAAATAAAAGGGAAATTTCTTATCTGAACCTTCAATCTGATATAAGACCTGTTGCTCATGGACCTGATGTACCTGTACCTATTCCAATGTAGACACTTGATACAGTTTCATCTGATTCTGAATTTGATGTCAATAGAAATGATGATAAGGATTGTTTTCAACATTAAATGTCTGGAGAACCACAACTTTTCACACAAGATGAATTTAATGATTTAGTGAGAGATTTGGACCTTTCAAAGGATTCTTCAAAGATTTTGGGGTCCAGACTTTAGGCTAAAAGAACGTTCGTTTAGATTAAACACTGCGATAAACACACCAAAGGGTTTGAAATGTTGAAGACTGCTGCACCAGTCATCCATCCTATCAAAGTAACTGGGCCATAGGATATGATTAGTGTTGGCTTAATAAGGCCATTATCAATCACTAGTAAAGTTCATTGCTACATTTTAACCTGTACAGATTACTTCATCTAATGAGTTGTTATTGTCCCATTATTTGATAAGACAGTACCTGAAATTGGCAGTCATTTGGTGGATATATTCTACAAGTGAATCAGTTTGTGTATTGTTTGAAATGTAAAATAATGTGCATTTGTATTAAATATCAATATTACTTTAAATTGTTATAATACATATGGAATAAATACAAAATATAAAATTTTAATAATGCTCAAGCTTCAGAAAAAAAAGCATCGTTTTACTTTCCTTTGACAGTTATGGAAATCCTGATCAAGTGTCGACAGACCAAGGGCGAGAGGTTGTGAATGAGGTAACTTATAATTTTGTTTAATAATGTACTAGTTATGATCACTCAGAACTAGATTTTATAAGCTTAATATTTGATTTAGCTTAGTTATAATTTTTTTTTAAATGACAAAAAGAATTAAAGTAGACAAAGGGGAAAAGGTGTTACAGAAACATACCATAAATAGTTTTTATTAATGTGTGCTTATTTACATGTATCATATATGTATGTATGTTTTTTCAGATTAACCAATACATATTTCAAGTGATGGGAAACAGGCATGCATTAACTTTTGCATGCCATCCTCAGACAAATGGGCTTGACGAAAGGACAAATGGAAGACCGCTCAGCAAACTGGTTGATGAACGAAAAAACAATTAGGATAAATTCTTGACAGCTATGGTAAGTGGAATAAATACCAGTAAACATGAATCAACCAGATTTACACAGCTGTGGTAAGTGGAATAAATACCGGTAAACATGAATCAACCAGATTTACACTCTTCTTCTTAATGTTTCAGCACACGGCAAAGCTGGCAGTAGAAAAGCAGCTAGAAGAAGATATTGGTGTTCCCGAAGACCCAATACTTGAAGCTGATATTACTACCTATGTAGAAGATGTGGTGAAGAAAAAACATTGCTACATAAAGAAGTATGTAACCTGTACTGCACATTTGCTATAGCACTATATTACCTCTGTAATACTATCTTTTGTATTTATACGTCTTTCATTGTGATGCTTACCTCTTTATAAAAAAATTATTTTGAACAATTTCTTTTTACTTTAAAAGGAATGCAACTAATCAGCACCACTACCAGTTCGTAATGGACCACTCTTATGAAATACTGTCCTGTTGTAACTAAACTCCTGAACATATTAGACGTGTTAATTACAGTTAGTGTAATATGTCTCTTGTATATTTTTAAAATATAAGTATAGCACTTGTGTGTATCAATGACTCTTGGTTATTTGTTCACAGGCTCTTAGTAACATTGAAAAGGCCCAGACGAGACAGAAGAAATATGAGGAGAGTAAGAAAGAAGGAGTTAAAGTGTTCCAGTTTCAACCTCATAACCTATTGCTTAGAAGAAACTTGCTGAAACTGACCAAGAAAGGCCATAAGTTGGAAAATTAATGGAAAGGCCTATACGAAATTGTTGAGATCACCAAGAAAAGGACAATGAAATTGAAGCATGTGGCAAGTGGAATATTATTGAAGAACAATATCCCATTTAAGAATTAATCAAAACTTGAATAAGGTTTTTGTTTTGTTACCACAACAACCATACAGTAAATTCTTATTTAATTGTAAAAGAAACTCCTTAATTTGTTACAATTCATGAAAGTACTACACTTTATTCAGGTAGACACGTATGATCTACTACTGGGACTCGTATCATTTCAACTACCTGAATTAAGTGTAATTAGCATTAGATAGATAATGTTTTATATACAAACGAATAAAAAATAAAAATTCATTAACAGAAAACTGGAAAGGAGACAACGATTGAAGAAAGAGGAACTAGAAAAATACCAAAATAAACTGAAGCCAAAGTAACTGCCTTAACTGAAGATACCCAAGAAATGGACAACAAGGACAAAAATGAAGCAACGAAAGTAATCAAATTACACACAAATATTAATACCATAGATGCTGAAATGGTAAGATTGGGTGCACATGCAAAATGCTGTGAACACCCAAATATAACTTATGCATTAATACACTAATCGTAAATAGCAAAATTAAAGAACATATAAAAACAAATATATAAGGAACTTGTAGTTTAAGAAATGTTTTTATGTTTTTTCAATTATCAATAGGAAAAAAACTATTATATTAAACATATCACGCTAATATGTTATGTGTATTACATATACATTATATTTGTAGACATAGAAAAAAAAAAACACCAGAAATTTGTCTTGCTGGGAAAACTTGACTTGGTGTATGTAACATGTGGAAATGGGTAAGGAGAAATAATGAAGAAAGTGATACAGGTAAATTGTCAGCTAAGGAAGAATACTGTGTTATTACTAAAATATCTCATTTAGAACCTAGGATTACTAGATTAGTGTATAAGCAAGTTGGTTCATATACCAATTTGCATCAAATAACAAGTGTTTTGGACTCTCCCACAGCCTTGTTAAATGATGATATTATCAATCATTGTCAATAACTATTGAATATTCAGTTTCCACATGTTGATGGTTTCCATGATGATTGCATCTTCACATCGGAAATAACTAACCTTTCAACAGTCGGTACACCAGCTGGTGAATTAATCCATATTGTTAATATTAATAGCAATCATTTGATAACTTTGTTCAATATGAATTGTGTGAAAGGAACAATTTGTTTGTACCTAGGATTAGCGCAGCAAATCGGCAGCTACAGAAGCATATAGCCTGGCTACTTCATGCTCAAGGAAAATCGTAGGTATTCATAAACAGGTAGGTTCTAATGACTTGGTCTTTTTGCTGCTGCTGTAGCTACTTCGCTG